CCCCTTCTTCCCCTTCTTCCCCTTCTTCCCCCTTTTTTTCCCTTTTTTTTTCCCTTTTTTCTTTTTCTTCTCTCTTTTTCTTTTTTTTATCTCTTTTTTCTTTCACTTTCAGTTGTACATAGCAGCCTTGCCAGTTATGCTGCATATAAGTTGGCTTCAAAAGTGAACCCCAAGCATTTTCAGGGTGCGGTGAACACGGGGATCAGCCGAAGGAAAGCAGCATGACCTGTCTCACCAGGTGCTGGGGAAGAAGGAGCAGTGCTTGAAACCCACTTGCTGGTGAAACATTTCTTGCTGGGAGTCCTCTTCTCTCCTCCCTCCCATGGTATAGCCATTTCCCACGGTGTGGTTTACCGAGAGGCACAAATGGTCATTCTTTTCCCAGAAAAACTGAAGTTGAGGGTTCCTTTATGGTGTGGAAATGGTTAAAACTGTCATGCTGAATATTTAGGACTTCTCCTCCTCATACACATAGACTTCGGTGGGTTTCTTCTAGGGTTTACAGCTTAGCTCTTACCCCACCTTGCTTCCTGCTTTTCTTCCTTGATTTGGTAGGTAGTGTGGTGCTACCTGCCCCCCTGCTGCTCCCAGCTGGTAGGAAAGTTGAGAAGTCTCAGCAGTCAAGAGCGATGGCACTTAGGATTGGGGTGAGAGCACCCGATTTTAGGCCAGTGGGTCCACAAAAGCCGTGCAGAGAGCCGGGTTTCGGCTTTCCCGTGTGCAGTATCCATAAGCCCCTGGGCGCCGTGCCTGCAGGAACCACGGCTATCATTTTTGTGCTGCATTTGTTTAAGTGAACATTTATTATTCTCAGCTGACAGTTACTTAACAGCAGTTTTTAACAGCTCAACTTATATAACCCTCCTGGTTTTCTTTCTGCTCAGCAAAACAGAATTCTTCCATTTAGAGATGACAGACGAAGTAAATCAATTGAAGAGAGAGAAGAGGAGTATCAGAGAGTGAGGGAGAGAATATTTGCACAAGATGTGAGTAGTTGTTTTAATTGCCTCTTTAGTGCCATACCGTCGCCGGTAGACAGACAGTCTTGCCCCCCTCTGACACAAACAATGCAGCTGGACCTGCCCAGTGGAGCTGGAGGTGACAGGGAAGGACGATTAGCACAGAGGGTCCGAGAGGAGCTCGAGAGATGCGGAGAGGTTGGCTTCTGGAGAAGAAGGTGATGAGAGTTGCAGGGAGAAGGGTAGAGGAGAGATCAGGCCCAGCATGTTGTCTGGGGAGTGCTCATCCTGTTTCTTTGAATGTTCATGTTTTTGTGGTCTAGGTTGGTTTCTTTTTTTTTCCTTCTCTTTTCCCAAAGAGCAGTGATTTAAATGGACACTCTCAATAATTTCAAATAGCTGTGTTATTTCACATTTGTTTTGAGCTGGATCAAATTTTGTGCATGCCCTTCTGCAGAGCCTCCTCATGGTTTTGTTTCTTTGGACCAGTGCTATAGCGCTGAGATGCTAAGAACAAAGAAAAGCCAGAGGTTAAACATGGAGCTGCATGGGTTTATTGGAATTACCGATTAAGGAACTGTATTTCTGCCATCAGAAGGAGTCAGTCACATTGATGATTTTATTCTGAAAGGGATAAAATGAAACAGGCATTATAATTCCTGCCTTTACGAAAAAAATCAGAAATTGCACAAAAAGCTACCTTGCTAGAGGAAAACATTGAAATATGAAATATCTGTGAGCAATACATCATGTTCCTGAAAAAGGAAGAAAACAGTAATTTGCTATAATACTGTAATGGTGGGGTCCTAAAAGGAAAAAAAAAGGAAAAAGTCAACATTTTATTGTTTTATCTCACATCTCAGTGGAGCTCTGCCTCTCGGAGAAATATGGGAATAATAAAACTATTACTGAAAGTCATATTTGGCAGTGTCCTTTTAAATTAAAACTGTTCATATGTTGCAGGGCTAACAGTATTATTTTAGATATCGTTTTATTTTGCTCTGGTTTTGGAGTTGCACACATCCAAGTTATTTTTCTTTAGCAGAATACATTGTGTAGTTGTAAGGTGTGTGTTGTCTCAGTTGTGATAAGTAATTTTGCTTTTTAATAAGTAGCTTGCCACATCTAAATGTTTTTAGCCTCACTTTTTCTTTCTTTGCTGAGACAATTCCAGTAAAAGCAGAGGCCCTTTGGTTTATGTGTTGCTTTCAGCATGTGGGTCTGATGTAAACACTGTCACAGTATATATGGTAGTTACCGAGTTGCTCAAGAGCTGCAAAAGCTTCTTTGCAACGTGTTTCCTATATGAAAGTTGCTGTTTCAGGCTTATTACAAAGGAGCTTCTGCAAAACCAAAAAATCTTTGGCTTTTGAAGCAGCCTTCAAATGAGGCAAAATGTCATTTAAAAATACCGTATGGAAAGTTGTTGCCAAAATAACGCAGTTTCTATCACAAGCAGCAGCTAGAAATGCCAGGCTGGGAAGTGGAGGTGTCTGGAAAAGTGTGCTGAAACTAGCTCCACAATGTGCTGCTGTTTTTCTCTAGATACTTGTTTCTTAAAAGACGGGCAAGCAGTGAGCATTTTAATTGCTCGCAGCAGGAGGTTCTCGTGGTCCGTTGGGTTAGCATCTCCGAGTGGCAAGACCTAAGTAACAGTGTGGTTTGTGGCAGGCATTTTAAATGGATTGGGAGTGAGCGTTTTTAAAGATCAACAATGATAGATATCTCTCCCTCTCTCTCTCATATCCACTCGTTTACTCTCTCTCTCCCTGCTATTGCAGGTGTTTAGTGAGCATTGTAGTGCAGTGAATATCAGCAAGCTGTATTGTACTAATAATATTAACAGGAGTAGCTGAGCTTTTCTGAGTGGAGCACTCCTCACAGATATGAGATGTTTTTAGGGTGATGTCAGTGGTTGTGGTGGTGGACGATGTCATTTTTTTCAATTTTAGGTAAGCAAGCAATGGCTTCCTATTATAGGTAGCCACTTACTGCATGTAAGACTTTATAGTTTTAAAGCCTTCTGCAATCATTACCTCTGAGGTAGGTACCTAAGCCTTGTTGTCCTGCAAGTTGTAGATGTAGGGAGACAGGGAGGGATTAATTGTGTGGGTTTTTTTATCTCTATACTGTTTACACTGCTGTCAAGCCTTTATCAGTGCCTTGCTTTTGTGAACCCTAGCGAATAGATCATAGATACTTCACTTATAATTAGAGTATGCATGAAGAGAGCTTGCGTGAGAGGTCTCCAAAGGGCAGCTGTGAAGGTCAAGAGTACTGCCGTAACTTGTTGTACCTAGCACCCTCTCTCTGAATGTGTTTGAGGTACCCACAACTCTTTGGTTAACATATCAGTCCAAGAGTCAGAACTTTGAACAAAATTTAGGAGGAAGAGGCGATCTGGTTATAGGGGCAAAAATTCTGTGTGTGTTTCAAGTGCTGTGAAAAATATCTTAACCTGGACCCCACATACCAGCCAACAGAAAGCTTGCTTGTCCTTCCTTTCATTTTGCAGCACTATAGTGCACCAGATATCTTCATTTCCACGTGGGAAGGTTTTAACAAAATAAATATGTTCATGAATAATGCCATCATTATGATAGTCCTTATGGTGATTAATCTCATATTAGTCAGTTTAAATTATACTTTCTGGCAAGTTTTCCATCTGCTATGTTGGCTATCATAAATTTTGACAAAGGGAGCTGGAGGTTTTAATGATTCATGTCATGCGTAGAGTTTCATAGCAAGTGGCAGGGATTGAGAAGCATCTTAATGTGGTATCTTAAGAAAAGGATTGGCAAAGAAATAAATAGTTAATAAATGTGATCGTTCTAGCTCATTGAGATAAGAACTACAAAGTGCACCTCAAACTTCTCAGGCTGCTAACAGTAAAACATCGCTGCATGAGCTCTGTTATGCTCAAAGCTATTTTCAGGGTTATTTTTAATTACAAAGCCTACAACCTTCCTTTTTAGAACATGCTTTTATGGGAAACTTAGTTTTACAGCAGTTTGTGAATTTTACAACCAAGTGCACTGGAGCAGAGGACCGGGAGTATCTGGGTCTTGCAAAGAAGTTGTTTCTTGTCTGAACTGGTTTAGTTGCTTTTAGTGGGTTGAAAAGTAATTGTCCAAGAAAGACAAAGAAAAATCTAAAATAGAAAAAAAACAAGTATATGTTGTTCTTTCCCTGTGCATTAATTCAAATTGTAGATTTAACTGAGAATCCTGGGTGCATGTGTAAATGGTACGCTGCGATTGGCTTTTAAGCATGCAGAAAATTGATCCTGAAGACTAGCAATCAAATTACGTGGGAAAAAGTTCCTTCTTCAAGGTTAACACAGTGTATAACCTCGTGAGCCACAATCATGTAAGGACCTTCCATTGTTCACAAATGTATTCTCTAGTAATCATTGTGTGTTCACTGAAAAATGAAGACATTTTATTACTTACACAAATGCTGCAATTGCCCATGGTACGCATGTAACTTGTTAAAAGAAATAACACCATGCTTTTTATTTTTCATTGTTAATTGTAATTGCTGTTTTTGACTAAGGAGTGTATTCTGAACATCCAGATCCTTTAGATAAGATAAATCATGATTGCTCTACTTAAGAAAACACCGAGGACCTTTCTGACTCTGATTAAAGAGAGTCACAAAAGAAATATTTAATAAGGTGGCTTCAGCCTTTCCTGTCCTTCTAGTAGAAAAAGATTAGGAAGAAGAGGGTTTAAAATTAATAAAAACAAACCCAAGACATGCCTCGTGTTGTCTACCATAAAGCCATAGGTACTAAAACTGCTGTGCTGCTGTACAGAGCCTTTGTTTGTGGCTGCAGATCAAGCAGTAAGCATTAGTTGGAAGCCTGAGTTCTATCACATCTTGTTAACTGACATGAAAATGATTACCTGATGTTATCCACTGCAGGATATTGCTGCATGTTAATAGTTATCTATGTTGGCTAATATAATTAAAAACAAGAGCAGCAACCCTCGGTATATCTAGTGCCCTGACAGAGCTGGTGCACGTTTTCCAGTTGAGACTTTAAAAGGTTCTGGGAAACTGGAAGAGTGAAATACTCATTTCATAAATGACAATTAGTCATACATAGAACCCTAAGGGAAGTCTTGCATGCAGAGGTCTCTTGAGGAGGCGAATTTGTAGGTAATCTTGCAGAACTTTTTTCCTTGTGTAGATTTGTTGTCAGTGTCTTTAAGTATACAAGAGCCAAGTGTTTTAAGAATGTTTTTGACAACAGTTGTGCTGTGTACTTAAGCTTTCCTGGCGCTTTAAATTGAGCGATATTGATGCTATAGATCAGGAAAGCAAGTCCTGACCTTGTAGGAGCTAAATTGCTATCCAGAGCTGCTTAGCCAGCTGACTTTTAATAGTAAGAATAACATAATAAAAAAGTGCCTGTCGTCTTTGCCTTTCAGCCTTGCACCTGTACTGAAAAGTAGTTTCCAGGGATTGTGTGGCCCTGTGCCAGAAACATCAGCCAGGAAGACAAATGGTGTTATTATGGACTCTGCCTTTAAGTCTATAATGCAGTTGATAGTGATTCCCATCAAGACGCTGAAAGGGAGCAGACCACTTGCTAAATAAAATATAAATCCCAGATATTTATTCTTCTTTATGCCCCAGTCTCTTTAAAAACTTGAAAAAAATAAAATTTTAAAAAAACAATCCAGACATGCCCCTTTGCTTTTGTAACTTTGTGCAGACACAGACCAGTACTCTGGTCTAAGCAAAGGTTTTTACTTGCTTGTTCTGGAAGAGTAGCTATAACACTACTTTGGAAATGTGACTGCAGTGAAGTCAATTTACAAATGCCTATCATGAACCTTAAAGTGAAGACATAGCCCCACAGTTCAGGTTGTACCAGCCCACAAGGTGGTTTCCTTGTGCTCATAGGTGGTTAGGCTATGCTGAAGGCTGCACAGACACATTTATTAATGAAACCTGTGAGTAAGGTACAGAAAATGGGAGAAGATACAGTGTCATAGTCATACAAATGATCCCAGTGGTTTTAGGTGGAACAGATTGTGTCTTCTCTCAGCCTGGGATGAAACCCTCGTCTGCTGTAGTTGGTGGGAGCATGATCCTCATGCTTCCAGTGTCTTGGAGGCTTTGTACTAAGGAGAGATGCACTTGATACCGATGCAGCCCAGAGCCCTCCGTTTTTAGTTGGAGAGCAGGGTGGGAGCTAACCTTGGAAGCAAGCCCACAGAGCTGTCAGATGTTCCCTGATGTGGATGCTGGGTGGACAAATTACAGCTTTAACAAGAAATCGCATTGGCGTCTCAGAGCTAAATTAATTCCTTGTGTAAATCGATGGGATGACACTGGCTGTGGTGCTAAGGGAAGACTGCCCGTGCATCTGCTGGAGCACTGGGAATGAGCAGGGTGTTGCTTCTGGTGTCGGCCAGCGCTCTTTGAGTAGGTCATTAGCTCACCCTTTTCAAAACAGAAACATCCCAAATCCATGCATATCCCATACCATTAAAATTTGACACAGCTAATGATGGCATTGCATTATTCTTTGAGCTAAGTCCCGTTGTTAGAAGTAATGGGCATGATCTCTGGCACCCTCTTCCCTTTGCCTGCCTTTTTTTTAAATTCCGTGCAAGTACTGGCTGTCCTTTCTTCTGTACCTCATGGAGATATAATCCAATGACAGCTACGAGGCACTTTGTGTAGTGAACATGAAATAGGAGGGAAATGAAAAAATCAAAGAGGGAGAATTATTCATGGGAAGTTGAGCACAGCTTCATTTCTCTGCATAAAAAATTAAGTAATGCGAAAAGAATTATACACTTGCCCGTAGGATATATTTCTTCCGAGCCCTTCACCTTTCTCGGGATCTAAGTCCTCCAGCAGAGAACCTTTTTCCAATAGACTGTGACTGTTGTTAATATTATAATTAAGATTATTATCATCATTTTATATCTCAATGTGGGTATGACTGTTTCCTCTCCAACCATAAAATGTGAAATCACATAGTATATCTGAGTACTGCAGTATCTTCTCTTCCTTTGGAGAACTTTGTCAACGCTGCATGCTTTCCTCCTGTTTGTCCTTCCTACCTGCAGCTCTGTGCTATTCTGCAACCTTACTTTGAGGTGGTAGGGCAGACCAGGGGAACCTTATATTATGTAGGAAAAAAGTTCTTCCCCTTCAAAATGCCAGTATTTTGCACAATACCGCCTTCTTCTCATCTCAGGGCTGAGAAGTTTCAGTTTGTTTCCAAACCGAGACCCCTCATTGGCAACGCGTTGTAATGCATGGAATTTCTTTTACTGGCCTGACTTTATTCTTGACCTTTTTTCCCTCGTCTTCTGCAAATGCAAATGATGCATGAATTGAAATCCCCTTAAGCCTGAACAGGGGAGATAATTCTAAAATCAAGGAAGGAATTGGAACAGCAGAGCATATCTAGAACGTCTGATACAATGCCTTTTTTATTTTTCAGTCAGTTTGCTCCCAGGAAAACCTTTTTGTGGAAAACAGGTAAAAAATAGCTCTTTTTTTTTATTTGGTGTTAAACTTAGCTGTTTCTCTCTCTTATTATTTTGTCTTATCTATAGTTGTTTATCCTATTGCGAAGGCTGTTGAGCAAATTTATAATCCATATTATCTGCAGTGTTTTTCTGCTTTAAGAGGGAGTGAAAGAGATTGCCTTGCCGTATTGTATCTGAGCAGATAAGGTGTTACTGCTGCTTTCCCAAGACTTTGCATTGCAGTTTAAAAAGCAGACTGGGGGTGCAGGGGGGAACCTCACCTAATGTTTCATTTCAAAGGCTCAACCTGCCTCTGGAGTGCCTTTAGAATTTAACTTATTGATCTTTCAAAAGCACTCCAGCAGTGACTGGATGACAGTATTTATGAAACACCAGGCTTGTGTTTCTGTTGTTTAACCTGCTCTCCTGCGGGGCTGAGCAGCAGCACTGGCTTCTATTGTTGCTTGTGAAGGCTCACAAGTCCCCCAGACCAAACCTGCTTTACTGCTGCGTTATAGTAATGAAATGGTGATGTCTAAGCCAACTGTTGCTTTGCATTACTGTGTGATAGTTCTTATGGATGTTTGTTTTATCATAATAAAACCATTGAAAGCAAAGGGAAGAAGAAACTGTGCTTAACTGAAACCTACGAAATATGAAGTGTTAGCTCCCTAGCAGCCATAAATTGGCTTAGCTGTCTCGAAGATCTTAGAAATTGTACACTTCTGTGGCAGATAAGGATTTAAACCAAAATGCTGAGAATTTCACTGGTGAGTGTTTGAGCAGTGCTCACCCAAGTCTGTCCTGTGCAGGTTTTAAAACTGTTTATCATCCCCTTGAAGAAGGGGAGGTTATTGTTCACAATATTTCTGTCTCTGTCCATCTTTACATGTGTCAGATGCATTTCTGGGTAAGGCTGTTCCCATAGAAAATGACTCCACAATAACGGTACAAACCAGCTTTTCCGATGGACAGTCCCGAAAGTGGAATGAGGGAAGTCTCTCAGGAGATAATGGCCACAGTCATCTAACCACCTTGTATTCTGAGTGCCAAGGATATTTCCTCAGCCGCTTCTTCTGTATCATGACTGTGGAGATATGTTTTATCAAAATAAATAAGAAATGCAACAGAGGAACCCAGAAAGCAAAAAGATACTCCCATAAACCTACTTTTCCATCTCTGGAGAGAATGGGACAATAAACGTGACGTAGTTGTTCATGTTTCCAAGTCAGTATGGAAGGTGCTCAGACACTGCGCTGCTGAGGGTAGGGTGGGAACCTTTATGGGATGAACCATGAACTTCATACCCAGAGCTCTGTTGGTTTATGCATTCAACCCCACACCTGCATGCAGGAGAATGTGTTCAGTTCTGATGTTATCACTTGGTTCACTTTGCCCAAACCCACGAGCTGGCTGAGCAGCTTTCCTGGTGTGAGGATGCATACTCAAGTGGAGACCAGTCAAAGGCCAGGTTGGAGATTGGGCTTCTGTTGCTGCCTGCATTGTTGTTGTCAGGAGGGAGACTTCATCTGTGCTCCTCAGAACACTGCTTTCTTTTGCTGCACACCTTACAGCCTTTGATCAGGTGAAGCACTTAAACACCTACTTAGCTCCGTGCACATGAGCAACCTCATTGATTTGCTATGTTGAAAGTTAGGTGCATGTTTAAGTGCTTTGTCTGTTTTTTTCATCAGAAAACCTGAGCGTTTCTCTGAGCTGCGGAGATTTCTGAGCGACTTAGCGAGTGCTTAAAATGATATATGCAGTATTTTGCTGACTTGCATTTTTTATGTTCTTATTAGGTGATGTTTTTATGAATTTTCTTTCGGCTGTGGATGTATGGTTCCTTGGCTTCTGAGAATTACCTTGCTCAGTAACAGGAAATGTTAAATGGCCTTCAGCCTCCCTGGCTGACATTTTTTATGTTCAGTTGACTGTGCACAGTTATAGGAGAGGGAGGGGGGGCAGTTTTAGCCTTTTTTTTTTTTCTAAACTATGAATCCAGCACAAGTTGGAAAGTGTTGCTAGAAATTAAATACAGCTTTACAGATAAGATAAATTTGAATTACCATGTATGTTACCATAATCTCTCTTTTCATTTTCAGTAGGCTGTTGGAAGACAGTAGTGTATGCAATGATACCCATAAGAAAAGACAGCTGTTTAGGTTTGTATCACTCTGTTTAATATTCGTTTCCCAGTAACTCTCACTCATGATTCTATCCATATCCTCGCCGACGGAGACCTTGACGGGTGTGGGGATGTCATTTTTCTAGTTGGAAAGGTGCATGGAGAACAGAGTTCTTACCCCACTCATCCCCCACTCTCTAGAATGGGGAGGTCACAACGAAGCCCTTTTGTTTGGTTTTAAGGATCATTGGCTTAGAAACCATATCAGATTTTCAGCTGCCCAGCTGCTCAGACTGCCACAATTTGGGGGTGACTGTGACTGGTGGAAGTTCGTTATGCTCTAGGATGTACAACAGATGCCTTTCACAGACTAGTGCCTAGACTGACCTTTTTTCCTTTTGTTGGTTTATTAAAAGCTGAAGTAAAAGTATGATGAGGTGAAACTGATTGAAGTTCCCTTTTCTGAAGCAGCAATGTTTTGAAACTTTTTCTCTCACCTTTGTCTTCCAAACTTCAATTCCTTCTGCCCAGAGAACATTCAGATGTATTCTATATCCCAGATCGCATCCGAAGCCACAGAGAATCAGTAGGAGTCAATCCATATTTTCATGGAGGACTTGTTTATCAGTTGACGCATGGATCAGTGGAAGACCCAACCTGGTGGTGACAGCGTTCCTCTGAGAGACTTAGAAAGGCTTTGCTCCCACAGGTTCAGCTCAAGTCAACCAAAGTTGAGCGTGACAAGCTGCTGTTAAAGTCAATCAGCTGCCACAAGTCTTAGGCAGAGCAGGCAGAAGTAATAGATGCTTTCAGAAGCATGTCCTTCATGCAGTAAGGCACATGGATAGCTAGGCAGAAGTAGGGTGATCACTGGATGTCTGTATACATTCACGTTTGCATATGTAGCAGTGTTTGTGTCACTTCAAACCTATATCATCTATATTACATAATTTTTCGTGATGAGGAGAAAAGAGTTCAGAGTTATTTGATGTGTGGTTGCTAACTGTGCATGTCAGCACAACAGCCACACAGGAGATGATGAGATTGCGCTGGGTAAGGAGCAGTGCTGGAGCATCTGGAGCTGCATCCCATGGCCACAGGCAGGAGGCAGAAAAACTTTCCTTCATGATTTGGGCTAGCTTTGCTGATCTGAAGAGTCTCAGATTGGCCATGCAGAAGTAAGGAGGCATCTTACACACAGAGGCTCTTAATAGCTAATATCTGTTTGAGTTTGGGAACAAAGGAGAGATTTTGTGTAACCCAAAACCATGGATAACTGGGATACAAAAGCATTCTGTTTCTCTCCCTCTTTTCCACTAGACCATAAATATAAGAGAATTTTTAATTTCTAAGCATAAAAACGCAAAAGAATTTGTAAATAATACACTTTATTTTTGTCTTTCTAATTAAATCATAAGGACAATTTATTTTAAAAAAATCTTTTTCCTTTTTTTAATGTTGTTACTTCTGTGCTGTTTCTCTTCATGCTTTCCCAGTGTCTGGGTCTAGCGAAGGTCAGCAGGTTAATACTGCTGATCGCATCTGTGAGAGACTCTGATCACAGGCAAGAAACACACCAGCCTGATCCCATCTTTGACATGCTGCTCCTTTATGTCCCAAGTGGCACAGGTCAGCAAGTTCTCCAAATAAAAGACAGGAGCCACGCTTGCAAGAAGAAAAGGGACCCAAAAAAAAAAATAGATGCAGTCTCATCCTTTTGATTTGTAGAAAGTGCTTTGAGCCAGCAAGGTATTATACTGTAAAGTAAGATGGAGAGGTGGCAAGTGTCTTCTAAAAAACTTCCAAAAGCCAGTGTTATTAGCATCACTTGGGATAATGGTCCTGATGAACTAAGCTGTAGTAGACATGCTGGTTTTGTCATTGTAGCAGCATGTTGTAAGCTGTTTCCCATAAATAAGCCAAGTTCTCCTCCAAATTCTGCTCACAGTTTACTGTGTTGTCACTCACAATACACTGAGAGCTCTGTGGCTAAGGACAGGCAGCATCTACCCAGAGATGTTTGTGATTAGTGTATGCAGAGAGAAAAAACAAACCAACCCTAAATGGTGGGTCTCTAAGTGAAGCATTAGCACTGAAGAGTTTGGGGAGGACATGTGTAGGGGAAGGCTCTGGATGACTTTACAGAGCAGATGATGAGTAGGGACAAGGTGCAATAGAAATAAGGGGATGGACATGAAAACAGAAAATAAAAGGCAGGTAAAGTTAGTGAGAAAAACAGGTGATGGACAGCAGAGGGAGAAGTAGTGAGGGGTTTGCTGAGGGAAGAGATCAATCAACAGGCAACAGAAATGCTACGTCAGCGCTGCGTAATACTGCTGTGTCAGCCCCATCCAGTGAAGTGCTCTTAGGATACATGCAAAAGGGGAGCGTTGGTAAGTGCTGTGCACGTAAAAGGGTATAGCAGCGTTTACTTGCCAAAGTCAGTTGAATATGGAGGTCAAATCCCATGTTTCAGGCGTGCTTTTGTAAATGGAGAGTATTTGCATTTTCTTTATTGTACTTGCTGTGGGGTACCCAAAGTTAGACTCTGCCCTGGCATGGTTTTGTTTGTGTATAAGTCTTTGTTTGCTGATGTCTGTAGGGGTAACAGAGACAGCACGGGGAAGGCATCTGGCAGTCGACAGAGCAGTACGGAAAACGAATTGAAGTGGACAGACCACCAGAGGCCATGGAGCAGCACAGACTCGGACAGCTCAAATCGCAATTTGAAGCCAGCCATAACAAAGACAGCCAGTTTTGGTGGGATAACCGTCCTGACAAGAGGAGATAGCTCGTCAAGTAACAGAAGTACCGGCAAACTGTCTAAAACAGGTAGCTAGTACTGTATTGGGTTCACAGTACTTCGTGTTGTGCTGTCATAAATGGCTGTACTGGTACTTGCCTGAGTATGGTATATCACAGAATGGTTTGGGTTGGAAGGGACCTTCAGAGGTCATTTAATCCAACCCCTATAGTTGGACATGCACATCTGTGCGTAGCAGATGTGTATGTCCATCTATGTGTGTTAGTATCTGAGTACCTGGTATTGAGTTTTTAGGAATCAAAAGCAAGCCTGATGCGTGAGGTCTGCAAATCATAGGTGAGGTAGGCTTTTCCTGGAGTAGAGTACGTGCACGTCCTTTTTGAACACTGTCTGCACTTCTTGTAGCCTGAAAAGGTGGTACTCCTTTCAGATAAAGCACAGATTTTACCTTTTTATTAGTCTTAATCTTTTTGAATCGTGAAAAATTATACGTCATATATCTGATGAGACATCCAAGAACACTTTGTTGTTGCTGAAATGCAGACCATCTGTATCTTGGAGTACAGCCTCTCTCTTGCAGCTGGCAGATGAGGCAGTGTGCTGTGGTGGAAGCAAGCAGAAGTGCTGAATTCACAGAAGTCTCACAATTCCATTTTCTTGTTTAGTTCCCGTTAAATGAAAGCACGATTTAAGAAGACTACGAACCTGGTGGGAATTCTTCATTTATTTGCATTAACTTCACGAGTACATAAACATATGAGCGAGTCACAGGGTCTGGATCTAAGTAATTTCAAGCCATGCCATTAAGCTACTCTATTATATTTTTGTGTAAAAGTGCATAATAAATAATGAGCCCATCAGATGATTCCATCACATTGATTCATTTGATAAATATAGTACAGGACAAGTGGTAATCAATATTAGCACTTAGTGCACTTTCAGCTTGAGAGTGTTTTATGGGCAGTACTTAATTTAAACCCAGTTTATCAAACCTGCGTTGGGCAGATTTCACTCCTATTCCCAAAATTGTATGGTAGCCTTTTCCATGATTTAGGATGCTCGAGAATAGAGTTTTTGGAGTAAATCAAGAAAATCTTTGACTTGGTATCTGTATTCTAGATCTCTGGATCTTTATTGTAGTTTAAAATTTTGTTCTGTTTCACAGCTGTAAAGGCATCTGGCTGGTTGAAAAGCCACTCTTTCAAGCCCTGCTGGTCATAAAGCTGCTGGGAGCTTTTGGAATATCCTGCCACTTCTTAATATTTCTATTTTATGTTTCTTTTGAGACCCTGGACAAAATTGGGTTTGTTATCTTAAGATTCATAGGATCATAGAAAGATCTGTAAGGATCCCTTCCTAAGATAAGATTCTCCTTCAGTTTTACTCCGTCCTTATGTACGTGAAATCCTATGGAATTTAGACATGAAATTGACTTTGAAAATTAGTACAGAATGGTTGTTTACCTCCGGCTTCTTCCTGAACATGAGTATGCAACTTAGCAAAACCAGTGTGTATGTAGTTTTGAAACTACACTCTCCTGTATTTTTTATATGCATGAAGGCTGTATAGGCTATACAGTGGGGCCTGAAGTATGCAGTAGACCATGTTTTTACCTGCAGATTTCTTTGCCTCCTGCGAATCTTTCTGTTGCATCAGAATTCAATTTGATATGCATGAATTAGGGAGGAGGCACCGGTTCTTGGTATGCTTTTTTGATGTCATCCACCTTCAGTAGAGTGCAAGTAAATGTATTTCTCTGCAGCATTGTATTGCAGAGGCGCAGAGCATTTGAAATGGTGTCAGGGAAATCCAGTTTGGAGGGTTTAGACATCTAATTGCAAAAGAGTAATACTTTTAAGTAGCTGTTTAGTGTTAAAATCAAGCATATTAAAGGATGCACTTAGAGAATGCATTAAAGGAGAGATCTCTGAAGCATGCCAATTCTTGTAAATGCATCTGCACTCTATGTGCACCAAAGCCAAAATTGCTTTCAAATGAAAGCTCTTATAATACATTTTTAAAACATCAGTGATACTAAAATTCCATGTTCTTTGCAGAACAATCACATAATATAAGTGATTGGACTTTTTTTTAAACTGTTTAAATTTGAAAGGTAGTTGAGGCACAGAAAGAGTAAAAAGGAAACAAAATAAAAGGAAGAGGTGGGGAAAAAGAGCAAGGCTGGGTGTCAAAACGAACAGCTTCAAAGCCAGGACATAAAGTCAAACTGTCAGTCAGCCTGAGGAGAGTCATAGGAAATACCATCTAAATCGCTATTTCTATCCTTCCCTCTAAAATGTTATTGAATGTCATTAAAGCAGAGAAGAATGACTGTTCAAAAAATAATAGGGAAATATGCCTTGATAAAGTATTCTCCCTTCACTAAAAAATGCTGAGTGTATTCATACAACTGTCAGGGCCCCCACGTGCTATTTGCATATGTTTTCTAAGGTATGTAAGATACCAAAATGCACTTCATTGTGCATGTTTTGCATTAGATCTTCATTACTCTCTACTCCAGTCATAGGCAGTGCTGGGTATTCCATAGCTCAGTACATGTTTAAAGCTTGATCATGTTTTTACTGGGGGGAATTTTGTTTATTTTCTATTGTCTTTACTACAGTGATTGAAATGGGATTGCAGAGATGCAGGTACGAACATTAGGCACGCTGCCCTGGTAGTGTGGCAGAGCCTGGTAGGCACCAATTATGACTTGGTTCTCTTCTGCAGAAAGTACTAGTCTGTTCTCTGAAGTGCTTTATGATTCACAGTAATAAATGTAAAACATTTTTGTCTCGCATATAATATTTATTAAATCAGTCTGAAGTCATTAGTTGCTCAAAATGTTCTTCATTGGCTAAATGATGGAAAATGGTTGTGACCATTTTAAATTTGAAAATTATTCAACATGTACGATGGTCATCCAGAAACATTTTCAAGCACCTTTCTTGAGCATTGTAATATTAAAACTTTCAGGATTTCCACAGATGGCTAACAGCTGCCTTTGAAAGTATGTACAGTGATGGAATATTAGCATTGTAGCCTTTCTGGATCATTTTTAATATTGTCACCAAAATTAAGTGTTCTACCTTTAACCTTAACTTCTGATACATCAGTAATTAATGGTACATAGTAGACAAACAGAAACCGAAGCACAGAAAGATGTTAGCCTCCCCTTAGGCAAAGACAGATCATAGAATGTGCTGTTCTCCACAGTAGAGTCCACTAGTGTCGATTAGTCAGACTTTAATTGCATTCAACTGCATGGGAATTAGAGCTTAGAAAAGGAATTACGTTATTTCATTCTTGCAAACTTGACAAAAGGAGCTGTTCGAAACCCAGTATATGGTTATCTTACTAGTTCTGATGGTTATTTTCATGCACCTGTTGATTGTTTAGAAAGCCCTGTTCCACTGAAGAGCACAGATTGTGTACGGCAAATAAAATTTTCTTCTCTGTTCTGAACCCTGGTAGATATATAGAGGTGTATTAAGCTATAATTCAATATTGAGTAGGGAGTTAATAACAAATTGCAATCAGACTGCATTTCTACAATTTAGGACATCATACAAAATGTTGCGTAGTTTAGATTTCCAGTAATCTAGTGGACTTTCCAGGGCTGCCTAGCCACGTAGATTGGCAGGTGAAATAGATGTCCCTGTAGGCATCAAAGATGGACCTGTTCAGTCTCTAACACATCTACGAAGATAACATGGTAGTTGATGAGCTGGATTTTATTTTCACTGGCACATTGCAACAGCTTTTAACGTACATTATTAGGAGGGAAGACAAGATGTGTTTCAAAGAAATGTTCTCTATGTATTTTCATATCTATTTAAATAGTTATTGGAGGACTTAAAAGATGTAACTATTGCATCTTTGGCTTCTTTTAATGCATTTTCCATTCAGTAGAATGCGCATCTGTTGGAGTGTGTTTCTTCCCCCCCCACTTACAAAAAGCTAGCTGCATTGGGGTATCAGCTGTGTTGATACAGATCGGTAGGGATTGTTAACTTCCTTGGCAGGGCTCCAAGTAATGGGAGCCACGGTCTAATCTCTCCTGTTTGTTGTTCATTGCTACTCCTCTTGGAGAAAGACGATTATACTGCAGGCATTTCAATACATTAACATATTTTTTTTTTTAAAAGAAAGTGTCCTGTAAATTATAATTTTATCTCTGAGTTCTGAAACTGAATTTCTGCTTCTTTATGATTTCCTTTAATCAGGCATTAGGAATGTTGATGTATGGGCAGTAAATCATGAGCGAACTGCGTCCAGTCATGCTCTTCCCACCAACCGACTGTGCTGAAGCATCAATCTTATTTTTAGAAGTGCAGCTTGCAGAGAAATAATCGTGTTCAAATAAGCACGTACCATTATCATAAAAAAACCTTAAATACATTGCAATATATAGAAAAGCAAGTGACTTAGAAAAGTTGCAAATAAATTTTCCTAAACCAAGAAACTACTTCCAAGACAAAAATACTGCCAGAGGTGAGATCTTGAGAGTCCAGTTGATAAGAAAGGAAAAATTGACTTGGAAGGTGGGATGAGTAGAAATATTCGAAGTCATCAGATACTGACTGCTGACCCAAAGAAACTAGAGCAAGATGTGTTGCATCGCTCACTAGCACTCAGAATATTGGAAAATTAATGGTACCTCCACACTTTCTCTCCACAAACCCTCTAAGCTATTAAGACTTTGTGGTGATTTTTCTCTCTCTTTTTTTCTTTTACCACTCTTTGAACTGCTGTATCTCTCAGAATATTTTTAAAAGGTATTAATGGAAAGTGATGAGAATATGAAGGTTATTACTATGTCAACTGTGAAGTAGCAAGAAAATAATAGAAGAATCTAGAAGAAGTAGCCATCATTACATACTGAAGAAAAAGGCGTTGGATTGTGTAATGGGGGCAAAAATCTCATTTAGTCAAAAGTTCCTTTCAGAAGTCTTTAGCAAGACATCGCTTAATGTGAATCTGAATAAAGTCAGAGAGTTCATTTTTTTTTCATTTGCTACAGTACTGAATTCATTATGTGGTGATTTCTTATTCCAAATTTAGACACCGTAAAAACAGCTAATCAGAGCTACAAAGACAAGATTAATTGGTGTTAATTTCCAAACATTAGTGTTGAACTTTATTTGGCTTAATATGTCTAGACTTAAAATGATAGGAAATAAGTTGTAGTGATGAAAAAAAAATTGAAATAGATCATTCTTATACAGAATACATGGGGGCAAAATTGGTTAAGTAGTAATTTCCAGGATATTTTTTTTTTAAAATATTCAGAAAATTGCTGAAACGGTTTTGTGTCTTATTTGCGTTATTTCAAAATTGCCAACTTGATCTACTGACATAGGGGAGCAGATCTCTGATCTTTTAAGGCAGACATTTCAAAGATATCACCTTGGCCAATGTGGGGTGATTGCTCCAGAGCTTTTTCCACTGCTTCTGCCTACCATTTGATGAGTACATCTGAATTCATTGCAGTCCTTTGGCTTTTAACATTCAGAAGCTAGGGAAGACCAATCCGTGATCTGCCATAAAAGCAGCTGAAAGGGGAGAAAGAAAAAAAAACAATTGAATGTCAGAGCTGCAATCTTCTTTTACGCTAACAGCGTTTCTTCAGAATAGTGCAAAATGGGGAGAGAGAGGTCTGAACTCAGGCTTGGTACTACTTACGTGCTTAGAAATAATCCTGGGAGGTTTATGAAATCCAGTCATCACCCCTGCCTCTCCAGGTAGCTTTCTAACTCATTGAATTCGATAGGTGATGGAAAAGATGAGAAAGTAAAGCAAGAACTCAAAGAAGCAGCATGAAGTGCATGTAGAAGGACTAGAGAAGTGCAGGAAAGGATCCTGTAACTGCTGTAGAAAGAAAATGAAACTTGGGCAGTCGCCTCTATATTTGGGAGGAAGATGCCAAATACTAATTGCAGCTTGATGAGGATAACCTCCAGGAATATCTCTGGAATTTGTAGAAACACTGAGATCTGAAATGATCTGATAAATAAAACTATCCCTGAAGGAAATAATCTTCCTAAATTTCCGACCTCAGTCTACAAGGAGAGGAAAAATAGAGCAACTTATACAACTTTGAAGTATGTTTATAGAAATCAAAAATTTCTTCCGAAATCTCTATTACTTTCTTGATTAGATACTGAAGAAGCAGATTTAAGGTCCTGCTGATGGCAAATAGTGCACAGTTCATAAAGAGGACTGTCTCTGTAGTAGCTGCTGTATGGATATGAAGCTTGAAGAAAATGTATAAAAATGTATTTTACACAGCAATCCACAGGAATCTGTGGAAAGACCCTCTATTTGTTAAGTAACAGGATGTGAGTGTGATTTCTTCAGAGGAAACCTATTTTGCTCTAATTACGAGGAAATAAATGAATTCCAATGTGGATTTGACAGAAAGTGAATCCGAGGCTCTAAGCAGTCTACTGCAGGGTCCTCCTGTAGTATCCCAAGTATAAAGGAGTGTAATTTGCCCTCTAACGAAGAAGTTTGCTAAAACCTAAGTCTGAGTTCTGTCTTTTGTTTTAGTCTGCACCTGCAGGGGGGCACTAAGCAGGTTGGTAATTAACATAAGATGCATAGACAGTGCACAGAAGTAAAATAAAAGAAGTTGCAATTAAAATATACTTTACTTTTGGAAAGAAGCATTTGTACAGATATGTGTTTTCATACTTCCCTTGTATTTGCCTTAACGTCCTGCTTTAAGGAAGCCATTCATCTCTGAGTCTTATGTTCTCAGAGATTCTTACTGTTTTTATGTGAAGCAAATCAAAATCTAATCAAGTAAAATCTCTGAAGTTTGGAGATTATATTTGTTTTTTAGAATAATGAGTCTCCCTATCCTTCCAGGCATGAATGTGTTTTAACACATTTGATTTATCTCGATTGATCAGTTTTAATAAGCTAGGTGCTGAAAAATCAAAGTGGCAAAAGTTTCAGGTAGCAGCTTTGGTGGCTTTAAGTTAATACACACATGGCACAGCTACCTTGTTACTTGACTGACAACTCAGTTGATGGTTTGTTGTTTGTTTTTTTTCCTTACAGAAAATGTTTGGTGACTTTTTGTGTTGTGGTGGTTTGGGTTTTTTTCTTTTCATTTACAACCATGAAGCTGTTTACTGGCTGGGGGGAGCAGATGTTGCAGGTGGAAAGTGGTCTTCTGAATTGTGGAAATACCACTGGATATTGAGCTTCAGTAAGGAGTGAAAACCCCTCTCCTACTCGCTGGGCATGGACTAGCGCTTGCCTTTGTGGTCTGCGAAGGCTGTCCTCGTGTACGTGCCGTGTCTTATGGGGACTGGGGTCCCTTGTAACCCCCCCTGCTGTGGTTGTGTCTCTCTGTTAGGCTCAGAGTCTTCCAGCAGCGCTGGCTCCTCAGGATCCCTGTCACGAATACATCAGCCTCTCCAAAGCGCATCTCTTGTCCCCGGGGTGACAGCCAGCTCTTCAGGCAACGTGTCCTACCCTGAGAACGGGATGAGTGGCCAGGTGGCCCCCAGCAACACCAGCTACATCATTCTTCCACTTGAAGCTGCAGGGATACCACCTGGCAGTATCCTTCTCAACCCGCACACAGGTCAGTAGGATGCTCTCCTGCCTGGTACTGCCCTTCAGTGTTTCCAATGTCATCTGGGGAATTGGCAAATTTCATGTTTCTAGAGAGACTTTCCTCGAAGCACTTTTTGAGGAAGCAAGCAGCAAACATACATAGAAATGACATTTGGCAGGTTGTTTTTTTGAATCTGCAGGCAAAGCTGGATTGGCTTTCTGAGGCCGTTGTGGTATAGCCGGTGGGAAGTGATAGAAAACACACTTGTGCAGTCCCAGACAGGATATTAATCTTATAAAGTCTTGGCACTCCCTGGCTGTGAATCCTCTGAGATCCCATTAGCTTCAGCAAGGAAGGACACTCTTCCACATCAAGAGTGCTGAGATACAATGCTCAAATTTTTAGAGACTGTGCTTAACAGAAGACTTTAAAAAGGCTTAGAAGCTGCATTTGAATTAGTACTTTGGAGTTAATTTCCTTATATGATAAGCAATTGTATTTAAATCAGAAGATTTATGATAAGAGAAAGTTGTAATCTCTTCAATTCTGCATCATGGTGCTGGTAGTTAGCAGCACTGGAGTGCTTGAACAAGGCATTCATAGTCACCCAAGCACTGTGGACACTTCAGAAACCACTCAGCTTGAAATTGAGTGCTTGCGGAAGGTTTAAGGCAATTTTACTTTCTTGGTCTAGATGCAGTCCAGATAATGTTGCGCTAATGCTCCGCACAATATTGTACTGACGGCATTAAAAAGGTTCAGGAAGGTTGATACTGTGATGCTTTTCCAGCATTTGGACAATTTCTGTGACCATGACTAGCTGTACTGTCAACCTTAGCTGAGTTACGCTAGGTTTAAAATAACAAAGCCTACAGTACAATGCTTTTTCTATTATACTGGGAGCTCAGAGTTGATCTCCAAAATATTTTTTCAAAGTCTTAATAGAGCATTCAGGAGCTTTTTATTTGGGGGTTTTTATTTATAAGCAGTATTTTATGTATACTACATACCTGCGTTCCAATATTTTGGTCAGAAAGCAGTCAAGAAAAACTGAAAGTTACAGCGTTTAAGAAAAATACAGCCTTGACAAACTACTAGACCAAAATTTCCACAGACTTTTAGAGATAGTGGTATCTGGGGCTGATCAATATATATCAGCATATATAAAATCAGGGAGGAGTTCTTTTTTGTTTGGATTCAAATGTGGCAGGTTCTTTCCAGAGAGATGACTTAGAAGTACGTGTTTGTGCAAGTTACTAAAGCCTTTACTATTTACGTGTACTTTTTTTCAAGCTATTGATTTATTGGCATGAGAGCCTAATACTATCAGCATAAATGGGGATTTTAGTCATTTCTTAAAAGGGCTCGGTGGGAGCACAGAGTGGGAGGTGAGCATAAGACAAAACTCATTATTAATTTACTCATTTCTGTTGTTCTGGTGGTTGGCAGTTCTGTCTGTACCACCTGAATTTCTTGGTCAATACAGAAGAGGGCATTTTGTGTGCTATGTGGTCCACTCCCATATAACACTCGGCAGGCTCAGGCAGAAGTCCGCCCATAATCCAGGTGATAGGACTGAGAGAAACAAATGAAAAGAATTGCTGCTGCTTCGAGCCCACCAACAGCTGAGAGTTTGTGCTCATTCCTGGCCATGGCAAGGACAGAAGCTGCAGCTCACCACGCTTGCAAGCTGCAAGAGCTATTTGAGAGGAACATCTACATCTGTTTTGTCAACTTGCAATTTGTAGTAGCTAGCTCATATTTTTTCCCTGTTACCTAGGGAGTCTTTGTTTGCCATAGGTACGATGTCTTTCAGTGCCTCATTGTCTGCAGAGGCATCATTGAGAGTTCCATGTGTGTTAGTATGTTTAATATTCAGGGAGCAAGTGGTTTTGTGTACATCTAATTTTGCGTTTCTTTCAAACCATGTATTCTGTTTCTGTAGCTCCCTTGTAAATACGTACATAGTAGAGAAAACGGAGGGAGCAGATTCCTCTAAAGACTGAAATTCTTGTCTCAGAGGTATAGCTTCATGCTACTACCTGTGCTGGAAGCCAGGCTATGCTGTAGCGTCCACTGTGTTTTTAACATGCAGCAAAACACGTGCTGCAAATTTGCCACTCTTTGGGCTCAGAATCTTTGCATCTTATTAGGGTAATGTTACAAAAGAAGCTCCATAGGGAGGAGACTTAGATTGCTGGATGCTGTGATCGACTATCAAAGTGATGGATGCTGTCAGAGAAATAGATGAAGAGAAGACAGCTTAAAGAAAAGGAAAAAAGAGCTTTGTTTCCTGTAATGAATAGA